GGTCAAATGACCCCATAAATTTTTTATTTTTATTTTTTTACCTAAACATTTTTGAATTCTCATTTTTGATCCTACAAGAAAAATGGTCTCGATCCGCCCCTGATTTACATCATATACAAATTTAATTTTAGTCTTCTTTAATCTCTCTCAAAAGGTTTAATCAATATTATCTATTACAATATTGATTCTATGATGTTGCATTTAAGTATACAGATGAATACTAAGGTATTGGAAGGAAAAATGAAATATTTGTGTGTTAAAATAATTTAGTGGACTGACCTATCCTCGTTTTTTCAGCACATACAACTTGTTGAGTGGGACCATGTTTGGTCTTGTGGAATTTGGATTTGCTGATAAAGCCATGTGGTTAGCCTGCCACCCATTTGTTGGGGGTCCATGGAACAGGCTGGAAAAGTGATTTGTACGCGTACTTGAATATTTACTCAAGACTTCGCGTATGAATCAAAATTTAATTATTCTATTCTACTCGATATGATTTAGTACCATTAAAAAGCCAAAAATGTTCGACTCACATTGGCTATTTTCTCCCGAATCAGTCTACAAGTACAGAAAATTTGTACATAAATTTGAAATGGACGCATCCCAAATAACGAATTTTCAAGTGAATCAGTCTACAAGTACAGAAAATTTGTACATAAATTTGAAATGGACAACACAGATTCAAAGATGAAAAAAAAAACCCACACACACAAATACACAGGATGCTGCCGTACAAATTCTGTGAGTTATTCCCTGTACTTAGGGAATAACTCTTTTCAATTATAGATTTGAAAGGAATTCGAAAATATGAATTGCAATGGAACCGGTTATCAAGTTCTCATCACTACATTTTTTTTTAATGGTTTTTGGGTGGGTTAATGCTCTTAATGATGAATTGGTCACTCGGTACCCTTCGGCTTATCATAGGACGAATTGAAGGAAAAGCAATGTAAACTGCAATGTTTATTGAGTAGTCTCCCCTTACTTTCTCATCTATGAAGACTTTGACCTCTGAATTTGTTTGTCAAATATTGGGTTGTTCCTGCTGGTGGAGATTCACCAATGTGGACGTAAGAATATATGTAGATGAAAGAACAGTTGAAAATCGCATGAACACTGACTAAACCACAACCGACTTAAAGGCACGTTATGAATATCACTTTCCTTAAGACGATATTTGCTCCCACTAAATCGTGATGCGCCCGTGAATGCAAATATGTCTTCAGATACAATGAAGCTGTTATATGTTGTTTGAGTTCTACACACAAGAAGACAATCCAAACACCTAAGAACAACGAAGTATATACTCGACATAAATATTTTATTCCTGTAGTGTGATGAAGTACGAATAATATTTAAGGAAAAAATGAATACACAAAAAATGGTTCGATCCAAGGTTGGAGAAATGGAGAAGATAACCGTAAAGAAACTTCCAACTCTTCACAAGAGTTACAACACTTCATATGAGTCACAACCTTTTGAATTGAAAGTTACGTAACCAAAATTGGGGTGTAAACGAGCAAAAAAAGGGGACACCCCATGAACAGGTACCCTAACTGGTCACCCCAAGCCATTGAGCGACCGCTTGGCACGTAAGCTGATCACGTAAGCTATTAAGTAAAAGCATAAGACTCGATGCGGATAGGTAGAATGATCAAGTTGGTCCGGTTGGTAGATGTCATGACAACCACCACTTTTCTTTGTTGCTAGGCTTCAACCTTCTGTTTTAAGAATTCAAAATAAATATTAATGATATCAAATAAGGTTTAAATATTTGTAATGTATTCACACCCAAAAAAAATTCTAATCTTCTAACATAAAAAAAGTAATTGAAATCTAGGTAGGTGCAACCTTAAAAATGCATATCATATCAATGTAAGCTTAACACAATGCTAGGATATTAACGATGAGCCTAAATAAAATGAACTCAATAAGTAAACATGCCTAAATTACTAATGCAAATCTAAAAGTACTTCCTAAATTTGTTAAAAACTATTTAAATGCATGAATTCCTAATTAATGCAATCCTTAAAACTACTTGTAATGCAATAGTTAATCAAAATAAGGAGAAAGTGATAGAAAAATGGGTTGCCTCCCATTAAGCACTCGATTTATAGTCTCAAGCTCAACTTTTGCACAAGTGTATCACGACACTTTGAATATGGCTTTGGAGGTCTTTCTTAGCTTGCTTAATTTGACTTTGTTCCATATTGCAACTTTCTTTCAAATTTTAATCTTGTCGTTCTCCAAGTAGTATGACTTTCCCTCATCATTGGTTTCGAACTCGAAAATATACACCTCAATCTTCTCATAAGGTTTAATCACAAACTCCATTTTTGAGCAAACGATGAAGTCAAGGGATTTCCTCTTCTTTGAATGCTACAAGTTCTTTTACGCCCGTTATGATTAATTTCTCGATCTTTTCATGCTCTTCTTCTTCAATTGAAGTTTTCTCGAGTTCAACGTTCATGTTCAAAACTTTTGGCAAAGAAATAATGACATCTTCATGGAGAGTTTTCTCCTCTTGTTGTATTTGTAAGAAGTTCAGTTGACGTGATTCTCTCAATTGATGTCCATTAATAACTGGGAGAAGAAATAATCCTATAGGCAAATCACCCACATCAAATTGTGGTGAAAAAAGTATGGAATGAGTAAGTCACCCAGGACAGTTTTATCAAGTTCACATTCTGCTTTTATATCACGTAGTCGTTGTCCTATAATGAAATCTCCCACAAGCATATCCCACTCATCAATTTCTTGAACTGCCAATTGTTGTTGCCTTATGACAAAGTCACATACATGCATTTTGTTGAAATCAACCATAGTCATCTTTTATTCTACTATTTTATTCTTTTATATTTCCTGAAAAAGAGAAAAAAAAAAAATAATAACTAAAATGGAACAAAAATAACAATACAATAACACATGTAGAAATCTGAATTAGTGTTGGGTAAATAAAATCAAACTAAAACTTAATCATCGGCAATAGCGTCAAAAACTTGTTCATGAAAATATATTTCGAATTAAAATCACCGCAAGTGTGCGATTCGTTAACAAGTAATAAAATGGAATTTTTGAGTCCGAGTATGATCCCACGAAGATTGATTAGTTCAATTCCTGTTACATTGACCTTAACCAAAACTAGAATAAAATGACGTGTTTATTTTGATGAAGTTATAACTAAAATAATACTAAGTATACAATTATAAATTATTTAACTAAATTAAGTGCAAACAGCGTTAAATGTAAGTTTGCGTGTTTTAATTTATGATGAATGTACTAGGATCAAGAATCCCTATGTAATAATTCGTTTTAAACTTAGTTCTACTTCTACACTTTGACAATACGGTGAAATATTG